AAAACGTACAAAGGAGGATGACAAAGATGATCCAATGTATCAGAATTCCCTATGAGGTAAGAGAAGGTCCCTGAATCATGCACTCCTGAATGCAGCTTAGAAATTAGGGGGGATTGATCGAGGTGATAAATGGAAAACAGGAATAAATAAAGGGGATGTAAATAGCGTACTGAAAATTTCCGGCCAAGACAGGACTCGCAGCAATGGTTTCAAGTTGGAAAAATTCAGATTCAGGAAGGATATAGGAAAGCACTGGTTTGGTAATAGAGTTGTGAATGAGTGGAACAAACTCCCGAGTACAGTTATTCAGGCTAAAACGTTGTGTAGTTTTAAAAATAGGTTAAATAAATGCATGAGTGGGTGTGGGTGGGTGTGAGTTGGACCTGACTAGCTTGTGCTGCTGGGTCTGGTACAGTGCTCCATCCTTGAGTGGGGATGACCAGACTGGGTGGGTCATTGGTAGATAATCCGAGGGGTGGGTCAATTGTCTAATCCGGGGGGGGACATGGACCTGCTCCGCATGGGTCAGTAGGCCTGTTGCGGTGTTCCTTCTTTCTTATGTTCTTATGTCGTGAGGACCTGTCTAGTTGGACCAGCGGACCTACTGCAGTGTTCCTCTTTTTTTATGATTCCGGTTTTGTCGCGCGTCAGGTGTTTCTTTGTTGTGGGAGTTGACTGTGAGGTGTAGTCTAAGCCCTTTAATTGCCTTCCTTTGATGTATTACATTCATAGTTCCTTGACAATGTGAGTAGTCACGAAATCGCTTGGAATTTCATTACTCTTTCACAGTGGTTGTTTTGCATATATATATATATATATATATATATATATATATATATATATATATATATATATATATATATATATAGAGAGAGAGAGAGAGAGAGAGAGAGGGAGGTACCACCTCTAGAACTGTCCTAGGGACCCTCATCCTCAGAGAAAAGAATAAACTTGCTTCAGGGAAAACTCAAGGTTCTCCGTGAAGCTGTTTGAGAATTTTCTCCTACCACCCCTATATTTAATATATATTTTATTTAAAGACAAAATACATTGACAAAACATTCACAAAGATACAATAGAAAGTAAAACAACATAGGTAACTCAGAGCTACATCTCGAATACTTCGTCCAGCTCCATGGCGGTGGGCCGTGTGCCCAGAATGCTGCAGGCATTTCCTCTCTGGATCTCAACACTGAGTCTCTGAAAGAGGAAGTTGGTCGCCCTGTGGTCCTTGGTTTCTATGATGAGCGTTTCACCCAGCTCTTTGAGGAACTTCAGAGCACACTTGCCCCATGCTCCAAGGGTCTCCGACCCTATTGGGATGAAGTTATAGCAAGGGGGAAGGTCTTCATATTTGTGGATCTTCTGGGTCTCCCTGTGGCTGGCAGCTCCACCCCCTTTCCACTATGGAGTATGGCAAGTAGGTGTCTGCCAATGTGGCGGCACAGGTGTAGTCCCAGGCAATCTGCTTTACATCCTTCCAAAGTAGCATAGTGGCTCCATCAGGACGCTTTTGACTTCCGTCAGACTTCTGCACTTGGGGTTCCCGTTGAGCTGGGCAACGGGCTGTGGCGAGGCCTCTCTTTATGATGTCATTGACCTCCTCATGCCTGGCATACTTCCCTTCTGCTGTGTGACACACGAGACCATGAAGTCCGAATTGATCAGCTGTCGCCCTGCCGCAAATACACTTACGTTCGGTGAGGATGGGGGCGGCTAGGCGAAGAGCAACACCAATCCGAATGGCCTGTGGGTCTAGTCGAGTGCCCAAGGAGGAATTGGGAACAGCTATCAGGAAATCTTCTGAGTGTGGTGCTTTCACTGCCAGGAGGCGAGCTTTGTCCTTTCCTGAGGCGTTGGAGAGCATTGTGTTGGCGATTTTTACCATGATTGGTTTGTCCCAGTGGGACTGTTTATGTTCTTTGGGAGGAGCTGGTCTACTGGGGGAATCTGTGAGGGTGTCCCACCGAATCGTTGCTTCAGTAAACCTGGGGTTTTGAGCTCCTACCACGTCTCTCAAGCGTTCGGGAACAATCTTCTTTTCTAATGCACTGGAATCCAAACACGAAGACAGAAAAGCAGGTAAAGCAACATGCGTAGCTTTGCGCACCCCTATACCTCCCAGTCGCACTGGGAGGGTTGCCTGATCCCAATGCTGATCCTCTAGTGACAGGTTCAGTGCCTTCTTAAAGGTTGACCTCAGGTGTGCGTCATTATATATATATATATATATATATATATATATATATATATATATATATATATATATATATATATATATATATATATATATATATATATATATATATATATATATATATATATATATATATATATGCAAGGAATTCGCAAGAGCAGGCGAAATATACACAAACACTGATCTCTGGCTGAAGGAGACTCGAACCTACGAACCTTGGAACAAGGTACGCAGTGCTTTACCAATCTACCCACACTGGACCAATACCTTGGAGTCCAGCTTGCGTTAGACTTTGATCCAAGGCAGCCAGCTTTCAGGGAGAAGGCTTACAGCTTTTCATCTGAAGGTTCGAGTCTCCTTCAGCCAGAGATCAGTGTTTGTGTACATTTCGCCTGCTCTTGCGAATTCCTTGCATTGTTCAAATCTCTAGTAAGGCTGATGCATGCAGGGGATGAGATGAAAAGCTGTAAGCCTTCTCCCTGAAAGCTGGCTGCCTTGGATCAAAGTCTAGCGCAAGCTGGACTCCAAGGTATTGGTCCAGTGTGGGTAGATTGGTAAAGCACTGCGTACCTTGTTCCAAGGTTCGTAGGTTCGAGTCTCCTTCAGCCAGAGATCAGTGTTTATATATATATATATATATATATATATATATATATATATATATATATATATATATATATCAAATGATGAAAGGGCACGGCAATTTTTTAATTTCAAAAATACTTAAGCATTGACCGAATATGCGATGTTATTTTTAAAATTTTATGCATGTGATTTCAGCCCAACGAAACAAAATATGTTAAATATTATTGAGTGATATATGTATTAAACAGACTGAAATAAGTAAATAAGAGTAGGATTGTATGATCTATTCAGGTTTAGCGCTTGTATTCAATAATAATAATAATAATAATAATAATAATAATAATAATAATAATAATAATAATAATAATAATAATAATAATTAGGCCTAATACATAAATATGTGGCATACATTTTTTCTATAAATCCGCTACTGAGGTTGTTTGCTTTAAATTTATCAGTCAACAGTCACCGAAATGTATTGCACAGGTTCTATCAGATCCTGGTGTAAATAAATGCAAACTGATACTGCAGAATACACGTTTGTTAGTTTAGCTAAGTAATGTGAAAAGTGAACACACTATACAAATTTCAGGCATATGATCATTGTCGATTAAGTCTCAATTTGTTTTGGATTTTCTTACATCTATCTCTTAAAAATTTAGCTAAAAAATGATAAATGTTGGACTTAGGGGCTACCTACCTGGAGGGTGTTAATATTTATTGAGTTCTCTCTCTATGTACTTGTTGCTCCCTTGTTTTTCATTGGAGGTATCCAGCATTGTCTGCCAAGCTTCTCCAGTATCTTCCAGGTGTAGATTATGATGATCTATCTCACCTGCTTCCTAAGGTGCACAGTTCAAGGGACTTCAAGGGCTCCCAGTAATTCAGGTGTTTGACTAAGTTTAAACGTGCTGTGAAGGTTCTCTACATTTTTCAGCTCAACAATTTCGTCTGCCTTGAAAGGCGCCGTCAGTACACAGTAATACATGAGCCTAGAGAGAACGAGTAACCTGAAGAGTGTCATCATTGGTCTGGCATCCTTTGTTTTGAAGTTTACAGTTATCTAACCTATCATTTTTCTTGCAGTTGCAATAATAACGCTGTTGTGCTCCTTGAGTGTGAAATCTAACATTATCACTCCCAGGTCTCTTACATTTGACTTACGTTCTGTTGAGTGATTTGAGTTTGCACTCTGAAATTGTGATTTCCTCCATTATTTTATGGCGTAATAACTGAAATTTGTCTCACTGAAATTCACATTGTCGACTGTGGCCCACTGAAGATTTTGTTTATATCAGGTTGGAGGATTCCTGTCTTCAATGAATGACACTTTGAAAAGGCTCTAGTATCGTTTGCAAAGGGTGATACAGTGCTTTGATTGATGTCCCTGTCTGTGTTACAAATGAGAATAAGGAAATGAAGTGGGGCGAGTACCTTGCCTTGCAAGACAACTTTTCACTGTAGCAGCCATTGATTTCACTCCGTTTACTATTACTCTCTGGGCTCTGTGAGGAAGTTAAAAGTACATCTGCCCAGCTTCCCAGTTATTCCTCTTGCACTGATTTTGTGTGTAATTACCCCATGGTCGCAATTATCAAAGGCACTTACAAAGTCAGTGTATATATACCACACCTATATTTTGTCTCTCCTCAAGAGAATCCAAGACCACGTCGTTGCCTTTGGCAACTGCAGGACCATTACGACCTGTTCTGAACCCATGTTGACTTGGGTTGTGCAATCTGCTGCACTGGTCGCCGTTGCCCAGCGGTGAGAGTAGCCACTCTCATTGCTGAGGTCCAGGTAATGAACCCTGGAGATTAACATGTGCAGTCTGCTGCGTTCCTATATGATTGGCAATCTTGCTTCTTAAAATTCTTTCAAAGATCTACTTAATGTGGGATGTTAGGGCTATTAGTCCGCAGTTTTAAGCCAATGCTTTACTAACACCTTTGCTGTGCAAGAAATAAATATTTTTACAGGGCTATGGATAGACTGCTCTTGTTATAGAAATGAAAATAAAGAATTAATTTGTTGGAGCCCTTGAATTCAATATTAGCCAAAAGAAACAATTATGTATAAAAGCAGAACCATCATGGGTTCAGGTGATTATACGGATGTTTAAATTACTGCTTGACAAGTAACCTGCGGCAAACCAAACTTTGTTGTCATCGCCTTATATTGGTCGGAGGAGTATGCAGGGAGATATATTGAAAGCAGGGAAGATAATTTCATATTTAGCTTTTATAAGGATCGCATAATATATACATATAAGATTATCCATCAGGGATAAACATGTGTTATTACCATTGACAGCCTCACACCAGCCTCGCTAATCTCCTCATTATTTGAACGACACACGGGTCTTCTTCACAGGTAATATAATGAATGGAAAATCAAGAGGAAATTAGAGATCGTTAATGTCCGTAGCCATAGCCGCCGCCGTAGCCACCCCCAGTACCCTTAGCCTTAGCTAAAGCCTTGGCAGCTGCTGCCTGAGCTTGATTTGCTGCTCCCTGTGCAGACTGCAAGTCGCTAATGACAACAACTTGCTGTTGATGGAGGGAGGCGGCCGCCTGCTGGGCTTGCCAAGCCATGGCCTCCTGTGCAGCTCTCACTGCTCGGGAAGCCTGCAGAGCATTGAATGCCTGGGCAGTGACAGCTCGGGCCTCCTGACGGGCAGCAGCCAAATCATTAGCTACAGCAACGGCCAAGTTGTAGGTATTTTCTGCAGCCTGCTCAGCAGCAAAGGCTTGCCCGGAGAGAGAGGACTCGGCAAAGGCTGCTGCTTGCGCACCCTGTGCAGCTTGTGTAATTTGTGCGGCTTGGGACTGCTTCTGTGCAGCTGCGGCTTGAGCAGTTTGTGCCGCGGCTACTGACACTGCAGCAGCCTGATTAGCTGCGGCACGTGCAGCTGAACTAGAGGCTCCTTGAAGACCTGCGGCAGCAGCAGAAGCCTGAGCAGCAGCCTGGTTGGCGATGTCAGCAGAAGTGGGTCCGTGGCCGCCTCCTCCACCAGAACCAACAATCAAGTAGCCACCACCGCCACCGCCGCCACCATAACCGCCACCGGCTCCATACCCAGCAGTAAAGGCTGTATTAAATCCTCGCTTGTCCTGCGAAGACATAAGGTCAAAATGACATACAAACTATGCATATTATTGTTACTATGTTAAAAAGTCAACGATAAACTTTTAGATACTATATGCTTATGGCAAATTTGGAGTTGTTACACTGAGGAACACAGGCAAATACTACATAAGCTAACAGTTATGAAACATTGTGAAACGGATATTAGTCTTTGTGTATCACAGTTTTTTCTTTTTTATATTTTGAGAGTAAATGTAATATACCAGACCTTTCATATGCTCGGTTTCAGAATTCATAGATCGGTTGTACATTTTTATCGACTCTTTGAAATCATAGTGAAGTATAAAATTTGACGGTTTCGACCATGGTAAGCAGTAACACTTAACCACTTGTGACACAAACCAGTCATTCTAAGTCCGTTCAATCTAGCCAGTGTTCAGTTTGGTATCAAGGATACCCTGATAACTTACCTCACGTAACAAAAATAGATAAAAATTCCATGGAGATGCTGAAACAACTGAAACACACTACAAAGGTAAATGGAGTCCTGAAATTCTTGTTGAATGCTGCTGGGTGTTAAACAAGACCAGCCAGCTAAGGTCTACAGATGACAAAACCTGGCTAAACACTTTTAAAATGTTTGTGTGGTTTATTGATATTATAACATTCTTCGCAAATGTTAATTGGTTGACTAACTGGATTTAAAGCCTATGGACTACACAATAGTCTTAATATTAAGGCTGCATAGAATTTCTTCATACCAGTTAATACTTTAATCCCTAAAACAGAGATTAACGAAAGCTCTCACCATATATAATATATTGAGACAAATACACGTATTGTTGTATGTATCATTGTGCACATGTTGATTGTTTGACTAACTGGGTTTAAAGAGCAATTAACTACACCAGGGCCATTAAGGTTGCGTATATTTTTAAAACTTAAATTTTGTTGAGCAGTATTATTGGAAAATCGAATTATATAAGTTGGAATACCAGCTAAGCAATTTGCTTGATATTGTGATGCTTAAATTATTGTCAAATAGATGCTCTTTTATATATACATGTCAGTATAAATTACTAATGTAAAAAGAAAAAGTTTTTGTGCGTTGGAAAAAAAAAGTATGTATATATAAATATATATATATATGTCGTGCCGAATATGTAAAACTGGTCAGTTAGCAAGAACTCATTTAAAATTAAGTCTTTTCTAAAATTTTCTCTTATACGTTTAAAGATATATATTTTTTCATTAATGTTGATGTAAAATTTTTTAATTTTGCACCAAAAGGAACTTAGAAAACTTACCTAACCTTATTATAGCAAGCGCAATTTATTTTAGCCTAACCCAACTAAATATATTTTAGATTTGTTTACAATAATTTAATACTAAACAAACACAGTGAAATATATTTTTTTCGTTAGGTTCAGAATGATTTTGGTGAAATGATTGCATACACAAATTTTCACTTGTACTATATGGCAAGATGAGCGTTGCTATTTAAGCCAAGATCGCAAATTCTGCCTATTCGGCACGACATATATATATATATATATATATATATATATATATATATATATATATATATAATATATATATATATATATATATATATATATATATATATATATATATATATTATATATATGTGTGTGTGTGGTACATGTTTACAGAGGGGCAATTGATATATCGGATCATTATTTAGTTGTACCTACAGTTAGAGTAAGAGGTAGATGGGAAAAGAGGAAGGTGGCAACAACAAGTAAGAGGGAGGTGAAAGTGTGTATAAACTAAGGGAGGAGGAAGTTCGGGTGAGATATAAGCAACTATTGGCAGAAAGGTGGGCTAGTGCAAAGATGAGTAGTGGGGGGGGTGAAGAGGGTTGGAATAGTTTTAAAAATGCAGTATTAGAATGTGGGGCAGAAGTTTGTGGTTATAGGAGGGTGGGGGCAGGAGGAAAGAGGAGTGATTGGTGGAATGATGAAGTAAAGGGTGTGATAAAAGAGAAAAAGGTAGCTTATGAGAGGTTTTTACAAAGCAGAAGTGTTATAAGAAGAGCAGAGTATATGGAGAGTAAAAGAAAGGTAAAGAGAGTGGTGAGAGAGTGCAAAAGGAGAGCAGATGATAGAGTGGGAGAGGCACTGTCAAGAAATTTTAATGAAAATAAGAAAAATTTTTGGAGAGTTAAACAAGTTAAGAAAGCCTAATGAAAGTATGGATTTGTCAGTTAAAAACAGAGTAGGGGAGTAGTAGATGGGGAGATGAAGGAATTAGGTAGATGGCGAGAATATATTGAGGAACTTTTAAATGTTAAGGAAGAAAGAGAGGCAGTAATTTCATGCACTGGTCAGGGAGGTATACCATCTTTTAGGAGTGAAGAAGAGCAGAATGTAAGTGTGGTGGAGGTACGTGAGGCATTACGTAGAATGAAAGGGGGTAAAGCAGCTGGAACTGACGGGATCATGACAGAAATGTTAAAAGCAGGGGGGGATATAGTGTTGGAGTGGTTGGTACTTTTGTTTAATAAATGTATGAAAGAGGGGAAGGTACCTAGGGATTGGCGGAGAGCATGTATAGTCCCTTTATATAAAGGGAAAGGGGACAAAAGAGATAGTAAAAATTATAGAGGAATAAGTTTACTGAGTATACCAGGAAAAGTGTACGATAGGGTTATAATTGAAAGAATTAGAGATAAGACAGAATGTAGGATTGCGGATGAGCAAGGAGGTTTCAGAGTGGGTAGGGGATGTGTAGATCAAGTGTTTACATTGAAACATATATGTGAACAGTATTTAGATAAAGGTAGGGAAGTTTTTATTGCATTTATGGATTTAGAAAAGGCATATGATAGAGTGGATAGAGGAGCAATGTGGAAGATGTTGCAAGTATATGGAATAGGTGGTAAGTTATTAAATGCTGTAAAGAGTTTTTATGAGGATAGTGAGGCTCAGGTTAGGGTGTGTAGAAGAGAGGGAGACTACTTCCCGGTAAAAGTAGGTCTTAGACAGGGATGTGTAATGTCACCATGGTTGTTTAATATATTTATAGATGGGGTTCTAAAGGAAGTAAATGCTAGTAGGGTGTTCGGGAGAGGGGTGGGATTAAATTTTGGGGAATCAAATTCAAAATGGGAATTGACACAGTTACTTTTTGCTGATGATACTGTGCTTATGGGAGATTCTAAAGAAAAATTGCAAAGGTTAGTGGATGAGTTGAAAGTGAACATAGAAAAGAGTAAGGTGATGAGGGTATCAAATGATTTAGATAAAGAAAAATTGGATATCAAATTGGGGAGAAGGAGTATGGAAGAAGTGAATGTTTCCAGATACTTGTAAGTTGACGTGTCGGCGGATGGATTTATGAAGGATGAGGTTAATCATAGAATTGATGAGGAAAAAAAGGTGAGTGGTGCGTTGAGGTATATGTGGAGTCAAAAAACGTTATCTATGGAGGCAAAGAAGGGAATGTATGAAAGTATAGTAGTACCAACACTCTTATATGGGTGTGAAGCTTGGGTGGTAAATGCAGCAGCGAGGAGACGGTTGGAGGCAGTGGAGATGTCCTGTTTAAGGGCAATGTGTGGTGTAAATATTATGCAGAAAATTCGGAGTGTGGAAATTAGGAAAAGGTGTGGAGTTAATAAAAGTATTAGTCAGAGGGCAGAAGAGGGGTTGTTGAGGTGGTTTGGTCATTTAGAGAGAATGGATCAAAATAGAATGACATGGAAAGCATATAAATCTATAGGGGAAGGAAGGCGGGGTAGGGGTCGTCCTCGAAAGGGTTGGAGGGGGTAAAGGAGGTTTTGTGGGCAAGGGGCTTGGAGTTCCAGCAAGCGTGCGTGAGCGTGTTAGATAGGAGTGAATGGAGACGAATGGTACTTGGGACCTGACGATCTGTTGGAGTGTGAGCAGGGTAATATTTAGTGAAGGGATTCAGGGAAACCGGTTATTTTCATATAGTCGGACTTGAGTCCTGGAAATGGGAAGTACAATGCATGCACTTTAAAGGAGTGGTTTGGGATATTGGCAGTTTGGAGGGATATGTTGTGTATCTTTATACGTATATGCTTCTAAACTGTTGTATTCTGAGCACCTCTGCAAAAACAGTGATAATGTGCGAGTGTGGTGAAAGTGTTGAATGATGAAAGTATTTTCTTTTTGGGGATTTTCTTTCTTTTGTTGGGTCACCCTGCCTCGGTGGGAGACGGCCGACTTGTTGAAAAAAAAAATATATATGTATATATATATATATATATATATATATATATATATATATATATATATATATATGTCGTGCCGAATATGTAAAACTGGTCAATTAGCAAGAACTCATTTAAAATTAAGTCCTTTCTAAAATTTTCTCTTATACGTTCAGAGATATATTTTTTTCAATAATGTTGATGTAAAAATTTATAATTTTGCACCAAAAGGAACTTAGAAAACTTACCTAACCTTATTATAACAAGAACAATTTATTTTAGCCTAACCCAACTAAATATATTTTAGATTTGTTTACAATAATTTAATACTAAACAAACACAGTGAAATGTATTTTTTTCGTTAGGTTCAGAATGATTTTGACGAAATTATTGCATACACAAATTTTCACTTGTCCTATATGGCAAGATGAGCGTTGCTATTTAAGCCAAGATCGCAAGTTCTGCCTATTCGGCACGACATATATATATATATATATATATATATATATATGTCGTGCCGAATAGGCAGAACTTGCGATCTTGGCTTAAATAGCAACGCTCATCTTGCTACATAGGACACAAGCGAAAATTTGTGTATGCAATAATTTCGCCAAAATCATTCTGAACCTAACGAAAAAAAATATATACCCCCGGTTAACGAACTTTTTTCATTCCAGTAGTATGTTCAGGTGCCAGTACTGACCGAATTTTTTCCCATAAGGAATATTGTGAAGTAGATTAGTCCATTTCAGACCCCCAAACATACACGTACAAACGCACTTACATAAATACACTTACATAATTGGTTGCATTCGGAGGTAATCGTTATGCGGGGGTCCACTGTATATATATATATATATATATATATATATATATATATATATATATATATATATATATTATATATATATATATATATATCGGTCAGCAAATTTCTGCAGGGTGATAAGCAAGGTGATGAGAGAAAGAAGCCAAAGAAAGACAAGACTGAACGTGAGACTAAAAGGAAGGCGTACGGGAAGAGTAAATATATATATATATATATATATATATATATATATATATATATATATTTGTAACCACGAACGAGTGGTATTAATTAATAACAAGACTGCGACTAGCCGAGGATTCGAACCCATGTCGTTTTGGCCCGCCTCATGGTGAGCGAAAATCACACATGACGCTCTAACCCACGGGACCACACAATCCTACATGAATCAAGCACCCAGCAGAGCTAGGTGTTTTACCTTCATCCAAGGACATACGGTGGTGTGGATGCTTCAGCTAATTTCATTCTACTTCCCGTTTGGTGTACTAGCCTCATGAGCAGTGGTATTAATCAATAACAACACTGCGACTAGCCGAGGATTCGAATCCTCGGCTAGTCGCAGTGTTGTTATATATATATATATATATATATATATATATATATATATATATATATATATATATATATATATATATATATATATATATATATATATATATATATATACATATATATATGAGATTGTAAGAATGAAAGAATGTAAGAAGACTGTCGGTAGAAATAAAAAGGGGAAGGTATCAGAGCATAGTAGTGACAACTCGCTTAGTATGGGTGTGAGGTATGGTCTTTAAATGTTGCATCATGGAGGTTGGAGGCAGTTTAGATACATATAAGTTACTGTATAATATTTAATTACTCTGATACTTTTAAATAGTTGAGGTGTAACTTATTTTATCGGATAATAGACAATATTTTTTATAAACTCATTTTCAATCATCCAATATTTGTTGAATTGTATCTGTGAAATAAAGAAATAAAACATTTCAAGCCATTAATCAGATATGCAAATTGAAGTTTTCAAATGATCTTGGTACAAAGAATATTTCAATGTTTAAATTAATACTATAATTCCAAGTATTGTAGGTGCAAGAATTATGCTTCCTATCCACAAAATGATACATGACCTACTATGTCATCCCATGTCAAGAACATTTTCACCTTGGTTTTCTTTTTTAAGTTTGTAATGTAATTGTTCATATATTTCACTTTCATAAATTTTTAAGCTAGCATGTTTGATTTCTTACCTTTTCTGTTGATATTTTATAATACTTATGTTGACCATTTGTGCTGGGTATTAATTAATAAACCTGAGCTTTTCCGTGTACTGAGAATTTAACGTCAATAAATCAGTGAATATTTATAACATCAGTCATATTGCTTGTTAGTTTATCTCATATTTGGCATCTTCATAAAAAGTATTTGAGAGAAATGGAACTTAGGTTAGACTAGGTAAGGTTCGTCAGGAAACAGAACAAGTGTTTCTTGACGCAGGTCTTAGTCGGATGATGACCCGCCGTTACAGCTTTTTGTCATCTGACTGAGGCCTTCCGCTGGCTTACCCCTCCACTCCTTAAAAATAATGGTGATAGTTATAACCATTTAGTAATAATAAATGGAACTGACCCGGCAGCCTCACATTTGCATGTCCACGGTTATTCCCCTGGTTCGGTTCTCAACAAATCATACACTACTTATAGAATTAGAAGGCTGTTTATAGCAATACAGTTATTAAGAGTAAATAGCTGCTAATTCTTAAAGATTTACACAAGCACTAAAGCGCGACAAAATGAGTCTTGATTGTTTAGAGCCTTGATCATTTATATTTTTGGAAGCAACATTAACCTAAAATTTTCCAAATAATAATAATATAATCTCAAGAAAAGGTAAGGAAATACGTTATTAAGTTACAAACAGAAAATTGCTTAAATCACAATTAACTAGACTTGCAGTACTCACGCGCACTGCTTCATCGCCGACCACAAGGCCTGTATGGGAAAGTAAAAAGTAAATATTTATTAGAAAAATATGTAACTACACTTGAGAACAAATGTAATTCACTTTTATCACAGTTTTATTTAGATAATCTCAGATATGTAGGTGCTGGCTTTTTTTTTTTTTACGGAAGTCATTGGGTGACAGACCCACACATAGGAGAGCAACGAGAGTCTTGAGTGTCATGGCAGTGCTGGCTGGCCGGGTGTGCGGTGACTGGAGTGTGCGAGGTGGGTTTATATAGTGGCCGTTCCCACTGTGGCATGACGCTGCTTAACAGACAGTTGTGTGCCAGCCTAACACCATCTATTGTACTACACTCCGCACCTCACAGTACTAGCACATTTAGCACGCTTGTGGGAATGCAACCTGACCACCGGGTTCGATTTCATATGACTCCTCGTACACAGAGGATTTTATCCTGCATTTTTTTTTTACACAGGGTCTGACAAGGTTAAGGATCCCTAGTTTTATTGACAAGCTATTTAGAGGTTAAGGATTCCTAACTTTATTGACAAGCTAAGAGCTGTTACCTACATCAGCTCATTTGAAAGCAATTTTATTGTTATGAGATATACAAGTAGGGAACAGGATGAAGTTGGAGCCATCTGTGGGCCAGCATTTTCATTTGATCAACTGACGTTATCTCGTTGACATCATTATGCTGTACGAATGTGTTCCATACTCGAATCATCCTGGGTATATATGATCTCAGATGGAGTGATGTTCTGGAGAAGGGTACAGCCAAGGTGAAGTTGCTACTTTCTGCCCGTCTTGTGGCATAAAAGCTTGTTTCACTCTGTCCTCGAAGTGGATCCAAGTGAGGTACTTTGACAATATTGGCCTTATACATAACAGTAAGGCCACCCACATCCCTCCTGTGTTGAAGGCTCTGCTGAAATGACAGATCTATCCAGGATGGGTCCAGACGAGAGATGAGACGTCTTGCTCTGTTCTCCACTCTGTCAAACAGTCGCAGATGAGAGGGGGGGGGGCAGGCAAACCAAGAAAGTGGAGCATACTCAAGGTGTGAGCGTACTTGTGCCTCGTACAGAATCTTGCAACCCCTACTGTCAAGCAGATGCGAGATACAGCGAAATGCTGTAAGCTTCCTGGCTGCCTTGTTTGCTAGCTTTACAACATGGTTCTTCATGGTTAGTTTGGAGTCAAATTTCACCCCAAGGATATCAACTTCTTCTCCAGGTGCCAACACCCTCCCATTCATCATTACTACTGTACCAGCATTACCATCATGGTGCCTAGAGACGATCATCATTTGCGTTTTCTCAGGTGCAAATGTTACTTGCCATCTATTTCCCCAAGCTGATATAGCTCTTAGCTGGTGATTGATGTAGCTTAGAGCAGCTGGCATTTCTTCTCTTTGATAAGTGAATGTCAGTGTACAGTCATCTGCATATGCATGTGATTCTGGGATGAGATGAAGAAGATCGTTGAGGTAGACATTCCATAACAATGGTCCCAGCACGCTTCCTTGTGGAACACTTGCCCCAGTAGGATGTCTTGCTGATTCCGTTCCATTGAGAACTACCCTTAGAGATCTACCATGAAGGTAATCATTGAGGAGACATAGCGTAGAGCCTGCAATTCCCAGTGCTATATTTTCATTGTTGTGAATTGTAGTGTCATCCTGTTCCACCTTTGAACTGTAATGCCTATCCTTAGTCAGTGATAATAACCCCGTGGCAGTCGCCCAAATTACGTATTGTTGTGCTCTTTAAGGCACCTGAGTTCTTAGATTAAGTCTTGGATACGTTGTGTGTTGGCAGGCGGAAGCCATGCCTAGTTATATGCCAGATGTTGTATCATGTTGTATAATACGTGATTGCTTGTGTATGTGTGTACTTTTGTGTGCTTGCTACGCTATGTCTCCTCAATGATTACCTTCATGGTAGATCTCTAAGGGTAGTTCTCAATGGAACGGAATCAGCAAGACATCCTATTGGGGCAAGTGTTCCACAAGGAAGCGTGCTGGGACCATTGTTATGGAATGTCTTTATATTTTCCTGTGTTTTGATTTTATTATTTATTATATAATAATAATCTTGTTAGTGCCTGGTATCTCGTTGACATATTATTTTATGCACCCATATCTATTTTGTACCTGAGTTTTAAATAAATAAAAAAAAAAATCCCAGTGCTTGAAGTTTTGCTAAGAGGCCCTTGTGCCACACCCGGTCGAAAGCACCAGCAATGTCCAGTGCTACCACACAGCTGACTTTGGATTCATCCAGTGACTGGTGCCACTTAGTGGAGAGGTTTAGCAACAGATCAGCAGCAGAGTAACCTTTCCTGAAGCCATATTGACGATCACAAAGTAGTGAGTGGTAGTCAAAAAACTCTGTCATTTGTCTGAGATTATTGTCTCAAGGATCTTACCAGTGATTGACAGGAGTGACACTGGTCTGTAGTTGCTGATTTCTGCTCTGCTCTTCTTTTTGTGAACAGGGACTACATTTGCCTCTTTCCACAGAGAGGGCCATTTACACTGTACTAGGCAGTGCTGAAAGATGCGAGTTAGAGGTGCTGCTGGCTGGTCTGCACATCTTCTCAGCAATCTTGGACTCAACTTGTCTGGGCCCACAGCCTTTTCTTGGTCAAGCGATTTAAGAAGGAAACGCACCTCCTCCTGCCTTATTGTCACCACTGACAGTTTTGACACAGTTCTTGCAGCTAGCCAAGGAGGGTCCCTTGCTGGATCAGGAACTTGCATTTTGGTAGCAAAGTGTTCAGCAAATAGGTTTGCCTTCGCTTGACTACCGGTCGATTTAGAGGTGTAATGAGTTCATCAGGCAGATAACCTTGTCTGTCCTTGACCAGGGACCACCAGGTTTTGGAGCCTACCCTACCTGATGCTAGCTTTCTTTTTGTGTCCACCTCCCATTTAGCAACGGCCCACTTTTGAACGTCACCCATATGCCTACTTTTAATTTTAGGATAATTTACCTTACAGGTTCCTGTGAACTTCAATGCATAACAGGGATCAAACGGTTAAAGATTTTATCTTTACTTGAAAGGTAAAGAAAAGAACTAATTGATTACGATTAATAAATATCTACCCAGAGGATAAAGTTGTGAAACTAGCATATTGCCCTTAACCTTTCTTCGTACAGCATTCCCCAAAGCACTTGAACTAGTCCTGTTGCAAACCTTTGCACCGTCTCTAATTCTTTAACGTGCTTGACCAGTTGTGGGTTCCAAACTGGTGCTGCATGCTCCAGTATGGGCCTGATGTACACTGTGTACAGAGTTTTGAACGCTATCGGAACGCTATTCTCAGGTTTGCCAGGTGCCCATATGCTGCAACAGTTATCTGGTTAATGTGCGCCTCAGGAAACGTGCTCGGTATTATACTCACCCAAAGATCCTTTTCCTTGAGTGAGGCTTGGAGTTTTTCCCACCTAGCCTATACTCTGTCTGTGGTCTTCTTTGCCCTTCCTCGATCTTCATGACTTTGCATTTGGCGGGGTTAAATTCAAGGAGCCAATTGCTGGACCAGGCATGCAGTCTGTCCAGGTCTCTTTGTAGTCCTGCCTGATCCTCATCCGATTTAATTCTCCTCATTAACTTCATTAAAGCATTATGTTGCATGTGTCTCCTTTTTTTCGATCAGGTTATATGCAACCTTCATGATCTTCATGTAGTCGATAGGCTTTAAGCCTCATCAATCATTAACTAACAGAATATCACTGAATATATTCTGATAAATATACATCTCTGAGTGTGTTTGTACTGAGAACACCAGTGCATGCACACGTGGAGGGATACATATCTCAGTATTTTTTACTCAGAGTTTATTTTAAGGCAAATAGGGTCGTTTTTGGAATTAACGTATTGACTGATGGTGAGCAATTGACCTGGTTAAATGACTAGTAGGATATAAGCACCTAGAGATGTTTATCTCTTAGTATATATACAATGAATTTACTTTAATCCCTAAAATAGTATTCTTGACTGGTGGTGGTTCTAGATTCGCCGATATAATTGCCCGGCCCGGACTTTTTCCAAGGGGTGGCCCGGCCTTGGCTCCCTTTCGCGGGAGAGTCTCAAACCAATGTCTGCCATGGGAGGAGGTACAAGTACCTCCTCGTCTTCTGGGACCAGCTGTCCTCAGGCCTAGGCCCATTCCCCGCCCTCCAAGGGGCTCGGAGGGAGAAGCTAGGCACCTTGGGTTGCCACAAACCCCGCCCACACTGGGCTCGAAGGGTGTGGCAGCTGCATAGCACCAGATGATGTCAGGAGGTGTAAAGGCAGCAAGCACTACAGGATCCTTTTCGAGCCACACCCTAGCTTTGGGCTTAAAGCCCGAGCACTGGGGAAGCTCAAGAATGCCTCTTGCTGTGAGTGTTTCTGCTGCTAATTCACTTGTCCGTTGCACTCTGATTTTCTTGTGATTGGTGGTGAACTGGTTACGTGCAACTTTAATGACGCTCGAGTAGTCAATAGGCTTTGAACCCCATTAACCAACCAACTATGGTTCTATCTGTACATGTTCTAACGATTATTTCGTGATGTGTGCACTGAGGAGGGCAGGGCGTGTACACGTGGAGGGGTATATGTTTTAGAGGTTACTTTAACCCAATAAGCCTATATTTGGAACTAAAGTATTCTTGACTAGTGAAGATGTGATATGCAGCCTTAATGACCTTCGTGGTTCGAAAAGCTTTAAGCCTACTTAAGAAACGAAAGATTCCATCTTGTTTAAGCAAGGGTCCAATACTGTAAGCAGTGTTTGCCTGTGATTTTGCAAGGGTTTAGTTAATATACTGCTTGATATAAGACATGGAAAGATTGATGTATGGCTTGTGTTTATGTTAGAAAATTTTCGTTGGAGTAAGTATTTATGGCTCTGATGGTACAGTCTCTGGGTTTGACTTCTACTCAACATGGCTTCCTCTTTTGGATTTAGCAAAATTAGGTACACCTGCAAATATACTGCTGTTCTACGTGACATAATAATTGCATTCTGGAAACAAAAAGATTATTTTTCCCGTCATATTTCATCACCTGGTATAGGTTGCATATATGAAATAATGAAATCTGTCAGACTAAGGTGGGAGACTTCAGAAGGATAAAAGGATATCGTCAAGCAGTTCACTCTTCAATTCAGTTGTTGTGAGAGCTTAAATAAGGTTTCCTGCCAACTGAGCACCTCATGACTTAGTCGGCGAACTTGAACTTGTATGACCAGAGCTTTGATAAAATGGGGAATGAAGAA